GCGTCGCGAGCGGCGTCTCGAGGAACCAGCTCACAAAGACGGTGGCGACGCCCACGCCAGGGTCGCCGCACTCGTACAGCGCCTCGCAGTACGCCTTGCCTCCGTCCGCCTCGCTCCGCCTCGCGATCTGCCACTGGTTGACGTAGCCGTTGAGGGCGGCGTTGGCGGGGACGCGGACGCCGTTGATGGTGGGCCGGTTCTCGTTGCACTGCTCGACGACGTCGGCGGGGAGGGCGGTGATGTACTCCTCGATCGCGTCGACAGACAGGCCGAGGGTCAGCCGCTCCGGGAGGTTGCGCTCGGCGGCCCGCTGCGAGACGAGGTCGGCGTTCAGTGCTGCCCGAAGAACAGAGGCGGTTGCTGCGTGTGCAGCGAGCCGGTCGGGGGAGAGAGAAGCGGCGATTCGCGTGGTCGATGCGGCAGTAGGGGTGGTGGCGTCGGCAACGCCGGGCAAAGAAGCCGAGCAGCCCATGAGAAGCCGAGACGTTGCCGACGACAGCGTGCCACAATTCGCGCGGGTGTTCTCGAGGTTCTCGAGGTGGATATCCTTTGGCCGCGTTGGGTAGCGAGGATTGGTGTGACGCGATCCACGCAGGCGTGTTTTCTGGCGGCCGACCGTCAGTGCACGGAGTTGCCCCTTCTCCGACTGCCCCGGCTAGTTCCCGAGGTCGTCGGGTGTGACCCCTGCGTCCCCCGAGACCTAGCTACTCGAGTACTCGAGTAGCGCGGGTGGGTTGGTTGGAGGGGGGCTCGCTGCAGGGAAGGGCTGTGTAAGAAGCCGATCCCCGTAGTCCGCCCCGCTCCTCCCCATCGGGCCGCATGAGCGGCCACGCCTCGCAGATTCGTTTTCGCGCCTGGGTCAGGCGCGCGGGGCATCCCCCGGGTCGCTCGACCAGCGATCCGAAGAGTGGCCGCTATGCGAAGGAAAGAGCGGGGCCCTCGACGCCTCAGTCCGGCCCTCCGAGGGGGGAAGGGAATTGCGGGGTCCCCACGGGCGTTCACAGCCTTGTTATTGAGAAGAAAATACGTCCTTGCACGAGGGAAGATGGTTGCCACACTCTGCAGACGAGGGAAGAGGGACGCCTCGCGATACTACGGAGGGCCACGACCCAGGACACTTGCTGGTCAGACCACTCCAATCACTACCACACCACATTGGGCAATCGGGTGACACGCCGCAACTCCTTTTCGTTTGAAAACAATTCCTCTCAAAGTGCTCTCACAGCAGACAGGCTCGACACAGGTGCGGACAGGCGCGTGCTGCACTAGCACATTCATTCGTTTGATCAGACAAACCCCTCTCGGCTGCCCAATGTGGTGTGGTAGTGATTGGAGTGGTCTGACCAGCAAGTGTCCTGGTCGAGGCCCTCTGGAGTCTCGTGAGGCGTCCCTCTTCCCTCGTTTGTAGAGGGATCGTCATCTGGACCCAAAGGTTGGTGCCCAGCAAGTGTGAGTGGTGAGCCGCGTGCACGGCTCTGCTGTACTGGTGATCGTGGGTGAGGCTGCAAAGCCATCCTCGATCCGGGTGCCGTCTCAGACGACTGTAGGATTGGTACAAGGTATGAGGAACTCGTATCCGAGTGGTTTAAGGGAATGGTGTCGTACGCACCGGGAATGCTGGGGCACAGCCTCAGCGGGGTGACTCTCACAGCGTCACATGACGCCGCCTCGAGAGTTGAGGGAGCTATTACGTGGCAATACTTGGGCGCCTGTTCGGCGCCCAAGGTGCCTAATATTAGGGGTCTGGGTGGCAAAGACGTGCCACTGCACAGGGTGTGGGAATATAGGGATATAGGTAGACTATTCGTCACTGTGGGGGGGGGGGGGAGAGTGATAATAGGGGTGTTGAGGTGGGGCTGGTGGAGGTGATTCTCCGGGTCAGTCTGGAGGTCGTTCTCCACCACCTTCCTGGAAAGAAACAGGTCTCAAATTGCGGCGTCACGACGTCTAATGCCATGTAGTCGCTCATTCTTAAACCTTAACTCAATGGAAGTTATTCCCTTTTACTTAATGGTACAACCAGAAACCAATTATTAGTTCTCATACAATCCTCCTCAACTAAAGATCTCATCTATATTATTTTATTTTTTTT